CATCTCCCTGAACTGTGGTAACGAATCCGCACACAAGGCCCGATACTGGGCTATGTCAGGAAGCCTCTCCAGCTCCTGCCCTCCAGGTATCTTTCTGAATTGTTTGAAAAATATGAAATTAAGGAAGGGTCCTTATTGCTTTATGTTTGGGAATGGTGAATAGAGTTTTTCAGATACTCTATGAACCCCCTACAGTAATTTTTTTTTATTTACATTCATTCACTGTACATCATTATAGCATACAAAATGAGATTTTTTCCATTCATAGTACACTGTATATTGGCCCCCCTACAGTAATTTTGAAAGGTCAGTAACTGAGAAGGGTTTTACTGGGACACTGTCTGCTTCGGCAGCTCCGCGGGTTCCTGTCCCGAGTGCCCTGGTGCGACCAAGCACCACTGAGGCCTCCTACGCAGGCGTTCCCGACTCCAGGGGCACTGGCACGGCCCCAGGACCCAGTGCCTTCTCCGGAGTTGCTTTCTGACTTTGTTACGATGAAATATTACTACACTGAAAAAATACATCAGAAAACAGGCCGGCCCAGTGGCACAGAGGTTTATGTGCGGCTGAAGTGATGCAGGTCTATACAGAAGACCACAGGTTCAGTTCCCTGACTGACCCACATAGGATGGCTGCCCACCATGATCCTGGCTGGGAAGGCCGGGGAAACACGAGTGAGACCCTGCTGAGGGTGCCTGAGTCTCTCTCATTCTCATGAAAAAAATACACTTTAAAAAACAGTCTGAAAACTAGAGTTATTATGGTATATTTCCCGAAGTTTTAAAATTGTTACCAGTGTCTTTGTCTTCCATTATTATTGTGGTGTCTAAAGAAGCTGATGTACTACTTTCTTCAACCTGAAGCCACATGGGACCACACCTTTGCTATGTGTTACTATGCAAGTGACCCAGCAATTACCATTAGTGGCCATCCTGTGCCTGGGTGGGGCAGAATACAGAGTCCCTTGGGGCTGTAAAGGGGCATGTAGCCACTAACCCAAATAGTTTGCACTGTTTCCTCTTGAAGTGAGCATCAGGAGTGAAAGAAAAACCACTAGTCCTGTCAAGGATCTTGAAACATCTAAGCTGCTTTTCACAAGGGTCACACAGCTTACAACACTATCACTTTTTGAACAATGTCCAGGGTTTTGTTTATGGCAATAGTTTTAAATAGAGCTTATTATTATTATTATTATTATTTAAGAGAGATTTTTTACTATAGGGCGCATGTATTTGCCAGAGAGACTAAGACAGAGAAAAAAAGTGAGAAATCGCTCCCCGGCAATCCTTTCTCCTCCATTCTCCTCTGGGGGCCTTGGGCACACATGCACACACATCTGCTGTGCACTGTAAGTCGCCAGGACTTTTAAGTCACAGTCAACTACATGAGAGTCCAGCAACATAGCCATTACGCCATCTGCTGGTCCTGAGCTTATTTGTTTTAGTATGAATTTTCAAAGTCATTTGCTCTTATATGAAAATGTCTACCAAGTCATTACTAAACCTAAGTACGGCCCTGGGTACTAGAGGCATCAGTACCTCCTGTGAGCTGGTTAGAATCTTAGCTTCTACCAGATCTGCCCCACCAGGAACTTTGCTTATCAAGATCCCCAGGGGATTCGGCATGTTCCAGTTTGAGAAGCGCTGCATAATAGGAAATCTCCAGGACCTTGAGGAGTCTGCTGGGTGGCAGATGTGGCCTACAACCACCCACGGGAATCCCAGGAAAACTGGACCAAGATTACATAGCGCAAAGTCAGGAAAAGAAAAATGAAGTCTCAGCAGGTGCTTTGCCATGTTTCCAGACTCCTGCGCATGCTGAATAAAAAGAGTCACCCTTCAGGCGCCCTATGGGCCACACACAGCTCCCTGTGTTGACTGTCCCACCAGGAGCCTGTGTGCAAGCCCCCTACATGAGTTTGGGTGACATTCTCACCTTGCCACCACAGTGACCATCTTCCACCATCTGGGATGATCAATATTATTGGGCCATCAGCAAAGTCATGATGCATTTTTGCATAGAAATACATGAAAAAAATAACTTCATGACTTTTCCGATGACTCGATAATTTCCTTTAAAATTAAATCTATTTCATCTAAACCTTAAATTTGGTAAGTGCATGCTGGGACGTGTGCATAGGAGGTGTCTAAGTAGACATTCCTACGTCATCAACGTACTGCAAGAACGTGTCTTTCCGTGTTTCCAGATTCCCAGGCATGCGCGGAACACTGTTCCCCCTCTGCTGAAACATGCTGCATCTCTCACTGGAGCTCTAGGATACAGTACAGTTCGATTTCAGAGTCATTCTGTTCTCCTGCTTATAACGGTGACAGCTGGACACAGGTGCACACCTCATATATGACTGGCCTTCTAAAAGCCACAAAACAAAACTCTGATCTGGAACCAGTTCCATGGCTGGGTGGTTAAGGCAGCCGAATGCCACATGGCTAATCACAAGGCTCAAGTCCCAGACGTGGTGGTTTGAGAAACACACCAGGTGCATGTGCGCCCAAAATCCCAAAAGGGGGGAGAGATGGAGATGGGACTGTGCACCATTCCCCACAGGGGGTGCTTTCTCCTCTCCCTGTCTTGTCTTCCTCTACTGAGTACATGTGCTCTTCTGGCAAAAATAATGAAACTATTCAGGCCCAGACTGGCGGCACATTCAGTAGAAAATGAAACTGAAGAAAATTGGGGGCTATGTGGCTGGTTGTGGGTTTGGATACCCTGGCTGGCCTGAACGCATGCCAGGGGTGAGTACCTAAGCTGCCGATGAGCGGGAGGCAGGGATAAGAGGTGCGGCAGGTGACACCCTATTGAGAGTGCATGTGCACATGCCATTGGGAATAAAAACATTTTTCAAAAATTGAAAAAAAATTAATTTCATAATCTTGCCTAGTTTTCCCTCAGATGGAGCTTTCAGGATAGCTTTATGTTAGGAGGGAAAAATGTCAATGAATAGAATAATGATAGACTACTAAGTGAACTTGGAATAACTCATTTCTATACTATTTTAACCTTTCTTATCCTGGAACATAGTATTCACTTTCTTGGTTCCAGTTTTCTTTTTATTGCCTCAGTCAAGCTTTTGTGGAAGTCCAAGAGGTCCCACATAGATCTTATTCTTAACAAGACTCTGTATTTCCTGCAGGTTAAGGTAGTTTTGCTTTCTTTCCAGTTATCATTGCATTTCTGCCTCACATCTTATTTTAAACATCTAAAACCACCCAAGGCAATGACCAGAGGATGCAGGAAGCTCTGAACACACCTGATGTGGGAGAACAGCGAGCTCTTAGCACATCCTTGTCTTTGGGGCAATGGAACATCACACCACACTTCAGCCTCTGGAAGCAGCCAGGGTCCAGGCTTTCGAAGGTTCTGAGTGGCTGACCTGACCTGGGGGGGCCCGGGGGGCTGGCCCTGGACTTCCAGCAGGAACCAACACATCACACTGAAGCAGGGCAGGGCACCACCCTTCAGCCTCTGGAAGCAGCCAGGGTCCAGGCTTTCGAAGGTTCTGAGTGGCTGACCTGACCTGGTGGGACCAGGGAGGCTGGCCCTGGACTTCCAGCAGGAACCAACAGCCATTCATATGGAATGGGTCCCTTGAGGGGCAGGGTTACTGCCTGAGCAGAGGACTGGTCAAATGTCAGGGAGGAGGAAATCTAGGAAAACCCCAGTCAGGCAGAAATAGAGAAATGCACCAGACACACAAGCCTTGTGCTTCCAGCCCGGGTCCAACCAAACATTTCCAATCTCTAAGGTACCTTTTGTCAAGATAAATGCAGTTAATTTTCCAAAGCCACCTAATGGCTTTTCAAACTTTTTAATAAAATAAAATAAAATAAAATAAAGTAAAATAAAATAAAATAAAATAGAAGAGATAATCAAATGAGTCATGAACACAAAACAGGAACTTCCGGGTCCAATTTTTACAATCATACACTCCAAGAAATAAAGGCTAATTAATACTCTCTATTGCCTAATGCCTACCTACAGTATACCTATTAAATGCTCTACAATGCTGCATCCAACAGCTGGGGTGAGGCAGAGAAGGGGACGCTGACAGGGACGGTGTGGAAACATGCCATTGCTACTCAGAAACATCATTTAACTGTAACTTATTCAGGGAGCATCAGGCAAGAACGGGACCAGGCTGACAGGATACAGTCACAGCCCTAAGAAAGACTTGTGGAGGGCTGCCAGACCCCATGTGGCAAACCCTGGCCCCAGTTGAAAAACAAACACTGGGTGCGTGTGTGCCCAAGATCCCAACCAATAGGGAGGTGGAGGAGAAAGGACTGCACCATCACCCTTCCTCTTGGGATGGTGCTTTCTCCCTCTCCCTCCATCTCTGTCCCTCTCTGGCAAGCACACACACCCTCTGGCAATTGGGGGGGAGGAAGACTTACCAAAAAGTCACAAACCTGTTTTAGATGGTGAGGTGGATAAAATTGCTATATTAATTCCTCACCTCTCCTTGTGCTCCCAGATGTTTAAGACCGGTCCAAACACAGACCTGTTCTAGACTGTTTCTTATTTCTTGCCTCTCCTTCCCCATGGCACTTTGCAGTTACTCTCACTGGAAACCCAGTGGGCCCCCTCCCTCTTAATTCAGAATCAGCCATATGACTTGCTCTGGCCAATAGGATGCTCACTGAAATGTCACTGCTTGAAATGCCCTTTGTGCTTCTGTCTATCCCAAAGAGTCACTAAAGTCTTAGCCTGGGTCCCAGACCAAACACATGTGGGATAGATTTGAGCTCGACCTGCAGCAAGGAGTCAACCCAGTTAAAATACAGACTGAAGAATCAACAGCCCAGCCCCAGAAGCATGAGTGAGAATACATGATTACTATTTGTCAGCCACTGAATTTTGACATGTTTGTTACACAGCCTTACTATGAGAGTAGCTGACTGATACAGGTGGTATCTCCAGAGAGAATCCAAAAGACATTTAAAGACAGTTTCCAAGTTCATAAAGAAGTCGGAGTTACTTACCAGGCTCACCTTTTTTCTTTGAACCGGATTTCTTCTTTGCAGAAGCCTCTTGCTTTGGTGCCTCCTGGCTCTGGAGTACCTCTGTATTTTTGCTTTGACTAGGAGCTGATTCTGTCTTTTTACCCTGATTGGCAGCAGCATCCACCTTCTTGCCCTGGTTGGGGGACCCTTCTGCCTTTTTGCCCTGGTTTGGTGTTCCCTCTGCTTTTTTCCCTTGGTTTGTAACACCCTCTGCCTTTGTGCTCTGATTAGCAACTGAATCTGCCTTTTTTCCCTGGCTGGGGGCTCCTTCTGCCTTTTTACCCTGGTTGGAAGTTCCCTCTCCCTTCTTGCCCTGGTTGGGGCTCCCTTCTGCCTTTTTGCTCTGGTTAGGAGTTCCTTCTCCCTTTTTACTTTGATTCTGGACCCCCTCAGTCTTCTTGCCCTGGTTCTGAGCACCCTCGCCCTTCTTGCTCTGGTTTGGGGTGCCCTCAGCCTTCTTGCCCTGGTTCTGAGCACCCTCGGCCTTCTTGCCCTGGTTCTGAGTACCCTCGCCCTTCTTGCCCTGGTTCTGAGCACCCTCGCCCTTCTTGCCCTGGTTCTGAGCACCCTCGCCCTTCTTGCCCTGGTTCTGAGCACCCTCG